AAGGGAATATTTAATTACATCTGATTTTAATTTTAATTAATTTAAGTAGTCACGGGTGGCTAGCCACTACCATATCAGATACTGTGGATCTGAGGAAGAACAGGAGTTACCTGTGCTGGCGGAAGGCAGGAGGAGTGTGCGGGCAAAGAAATCTGTGTAAAAGCTCTGAGGCCAGAGGGAGCAGTGCACGTCTGAGGGTGTGACTGCAGGAAGGTGTGGCTGGAATGCAGGGAGGGACTCGGGAGGAGCATCCTGAGATGACCCAGGAGGGCAAGTTGGGACCAGACCACGTAGGGCCCTGACGGCCACATCAAGGATTCTGAGTTCTACCCCCATACAGGCAACACCCCATGTCGCTGTGCTTCCCTTGCACAGCGGTACTGCATTTTTTTTTTTTTTTTGCAGTTTTTGGCCAGGCCCAGGGTTTGAACCCGCCACCTCCAGCATATGGGGCCAGCACCCTGCTCCTTTGAGCCACAGGCGCCGCCCCAGGTCCTGCATTTTTTACAAATTTCAGGTTGTGGCAATCCGAGGTGAGCACGTCTATGCGTTCCGTTTTCAAACAGCACGTGCTCACTGGCTCATTGGCATTTTTTTGCTTTTTAGCAATAAAGTATTTTTTAAACTAAGGTACGTAGATTGTTTCTTAGAAATAATGCTCTACCACCAAAACAATTCACATGACTTGATTTACTGCAATATTCCCAGTGGCCTGGAACCGAACCCTCAGTATCTCTGGGGCATGCCTGCAGTAAGTAGGTGATCCTACTGAAAGGTTCTAAGCAAGAAGTGACACGATCAGGGTGGCATTAAAGCAGAACAAATCGACTCCAGCTGCAAGTAGGACAATAGGTAAGAGAAGGGAACAGCAAACCCGAAGACATCAGTTGGGCTCTTAGACTAACAGTGACCAACCTGCGGCCCGCGGCCAGCATGCGGATTATGTGAGGACCTTTTGCTTATCTGTGGTAGTGGATATCACAAAAATTATGCACAGATCATTTTTTTAACTAATCAGCTTTCGTAAGTGTTTGTGTATTTAACGTGTGGCCCAGAGAACTTAAAAGGTTGGATACTCCTAAAGGCAAAAGTGGAAAGGTACATGGTGCTGGAGGAGGAGAGAAAACACAGATTTGACCCGTTGAGTTCAGGCTTATCACATACTACCTGGGTGACTTTGGAAAAGGCACTCAACTCTCGGGCCCCTAGTTTTTCAACGGTCAAGTGGTGATAACCACCCCCTTCCCTATTTACCTGGCAATCAAATGGAAATGAAAGTGCATTGCCAACTACAGTGATTCTACAAATGTGAGAGGTTAACATTACCGCTCAACCCCACAGGGGATACTCTCTCTTCTGCCCCTTCTCCCACAACCATTACCCACACAGATAGCACCAATGGAGAACAAAATGACGTTGGCTTTATGTGTGCTGTTTTTTTCTCCCCTGCAATTAAACTGTTTCACCTCTAGGGGCAGAGCACTTGTACTCCTCTCCCATAGGTGCCTGGGTCCTTACAAAGAGCACCGCACAGAGCAGGTGCCTCAGTGAATGTTTGCAGACCAAATAAAGGAATGTCACCGAAGAAATACTCGTTGGCTAGACGATTCCTCCAGCTCACCTTCTCCTCTGTCCTCATTAAATTTCAGTGTGAATCATACAAAAATTTGCAATAGTCTCACCTTATTGGACTGACCTAAGCTTTGTGACTCCAAAAGGAGCCTTTAAAATCAGGGACTGTGTATGACCTCTAGGATAGGCGGCTTTCCATGAAACTTCTTAGACAGACGAGGTACCAGCCTAGTACAACCCAACCATTTTAGGAGCAGCAGGGAATAAGAAAGAGGAGAATTCAGAGTCGTCTCAGTAGGGTTCTGGTCCTGTCTCTAATATTGATACTTAGTACTTTCAGAGCCTCAATTCAGCCACACATCACAGAGGAAGAAAGGTAGTTGTCCTTCTGCCCCACAATCAACAACACTGAAACAAGATGAGGGAGGTCAGAGTGGGTTCTGTCTCTTTGTTTTTAGCTCTAAGTGACATTAATCCAACAACCATTAACTGAGCACCTAATCTGTGCCAGGCAATATGTTAAATGCAAGAGATGCAAAGACAAATCTCTCCAATGGCTCAGCTCATGGCGTAAAGGGCACCAAATAAGCCAACAATTAAAATGCAGTGTTGTAAGGGCTAGATGGATGCAGGTGAAGATGGGCCGCAGAGAGGGGCTCCTCACACCCTCTCTCCTCTGAGGCAGGCAAGGACAGGCGTGGACTGTCAGAAGTCATGAAGGAGGGCTCTCGGGGGGAAGTACTGCTCAAGGTTACCTTACGAGGTGCCCAGCAGTTGAGCAGGTGACAGGGTGAGAGAAGAGTAACCCAGACAATGTAAACAGTACATATTTCCTTCATTCATGTACTCAGAAAACATTAATTGAGCATATTATGAGGAACTCCAGAGAAATAAATAAGATATGACCCCTGCCCATGGGCACACATTTCCCAGCAGAGAAGACAGCCAAGCGAAGGCGCTTGTAATCCAGCTGGCTACACAACTAACAGGGTGAGCTCATGGTGCCCATGTAGTAACAAATCTAAAACACTCAGGTGGCTTCACACAATTTCCAGTGAGGGACGTGTGGAGGGGGCAGGGCAGGAGGGCAGCAGGCAGCGGTGGGGACAGAAGTGTGGCCCAGCCTTTCTCTTACTCGGTATGAGACCTCGACCTGCTGACTAAAACTCTGCAAAACTATGTTTTCATCTTTCAAACAGGGAATAATAAAAATGACCTCAAAGATTATTGGTGGGAAGATAAAACAAAGTGATGGGTATTAACTACTCAGCATAGGAACATGATCGTGCCCAGGAATTGCCAGCTGCCAGTCTGGTCATCACCAGCTGTTACTGACGAAGGGGCAGGCTGCTCTCAGGCAATGTGACCAACGTCGGGGAAATGAAGTCGTCCAACTGCTCTCACGCTCTCACCTCCTGGGGTCTATGAGAAAGAAAGGCCAGGATAGATTGTATGCGGCCCTTTGACCTAGACCACTGCTTCTCAGAGTTTGACATGGAAAAAAACCTGAACTAGAAAGGGAGTGAATATTTCCACGAAGCTGCCTACCCCACAGACTTTGGCTTTTCAGTATTTTATCTGAGAAATTCATTCTCTTCCGAGATCTTCTCACGTATGGTCCCTTTAGCACCATCCTGGGAAACAGTGAGAGCACAACGCCAGGCAGCGCCAGGACCCTTAATCCTACAACAATCCCATGGACGTGGGGACAAGAAACATGAAGACACTGGCCCAAGATCACCAACTCATAAACGTCAGAATTGGAACGTCCATGCAGGTAGTCTGGCCCCGGAACCAGTGCTCTGTGGCAGCCTGCTCTCTCTAACATAGTGGTTCTCAACCTTCCTAACGCCGCAGTATATTTTCATTGTTAAAAAGGGGTCGCGACCCACAGGTTATGCTGCAACATAACCATATGCTGTGCCACCTCTCTAAGATAAAAACGCTGCCTCTCCTAAACGTCACCCGGCAGTGAGGTTCAGAGTAGATGTGTCATGCTTATCTGGTGGCTTCTGACACACGGCCGTGCAGCCACACTCCAAGTCAGGGGTATGGCCTAAGACCTTTCCTCGGGTTTGCTATAGAGCGACGGCATCGCTAAGGACAAACGCCCACAGCACTTACACGACTAATGGGGCTCAAACACACGAAGAGCCAGCTGCCGCTGGGAGATGATTAAAAATCTACCATTAAACCAAGTTGTACTTAGAGTAGACCTTTTTTAAAGTACCTTTTCATCAGGGAATTATATTTTTTCCTTGATGCTTTTCTTAATGGCAAGCAAGGCTGCATGTTAGAAGAACAAAGGAGACCCACAGGCAAAAAGAGTAAAAGATTCTCACCAGGGCGGGGGCTAAAAAGGGGGAGAGATGAGGAAAATTAAACAGGCAGGAGAGAAGATGCCTGTTTTATTCCGGTATAATGGCGCGTGCTGCCCACCCCCCTCTCCTCCTCTCTCTGCCTTCTTCTCCGGGGGCACTGACAGCAGCCCAGAGCTCATTAAAGTTTAAACAGCCTGATCAATAGGGACAGAATGGTGAATTGTCCATCTGCAAATTACCAAGCATCTCATGAATATTTAAGGAACTAAACTAGGAACAGGGAAAAGACGAAATCCAGGATTTTATATTTCTCTCTGGATAAAAACACAAAAGAATCTTGGCCATTCCTGACCACTAGGATATAAAATCAACAGTCAAGTGAAACTTTACAAATGAACTGGTATGGCCCGGCAGGCTGAATCCAACCCAAGGCCACTCAAGGTGAACATCCGCCTGGCATACATCAGAGATGCCCTAGTCTGACCCAACTCCCTGGCTTTCTCAGGACACACCATGTGTTCTTGCCACCGTGCCTCTGCTCATGCTGTACCCTCTGCCCAAAATGCAGTTCCCCTGACTTGTCCACTTGAGCGGCAGGAGAGTCTACTGATTAGTAAGAGTGCAGCTCTGGAGACAGCTGAGGTTTCAGGCCCACCTCTGCCACTTACATACTGTATGACCTATAACTGTAAGTTACCTCTCCGTTCAGAGCCTCCATCTCCCCCATAAAGCAGGGGTGGCAGGATAACTCTCATGGAGTCACATGAGGACTCAGCTACATGATGCAAGATAACAGCATTTGTCACACAATAAAAACATGGCACCTGTTGGCTATGATCTGAAGCGATTGCTTCCACACCCTCGGCCACATCTTCCCTGGGCCCCTCAGGCCAGCTCTAGTCCAGCTCCAGCCATAGTTACTTTGCTTCCAGCTCTTACCAAGCCATATTTCAGCTGTTTATCAGTCTCTACCACTGTACTGTGAGCAACCCAAAGGCAAGGCCTGCGTCTTGCTCACCTCTGCATCTAAAATTTCCCCCAAGATAGTCTGTGGCACCACGGGACGCACGACAAACTCGACAGGTGGGAACCCAGTTTCGTCCATACCTTTGTGACAGCACAGCACGCAGCCCAGATGTCCTCGGAGGACTGCTCGTGGTGGTCGAACTGGGGCTCCCACTTCTTAATGGGCTGGTCTGCAAAAGCCAAAATGATGCCGCTCTGGTCCACCAGAGCCGCACGGACACTGCCTGTTCCAACGTCCACACCCACGTAGTACCTTGCTGGTTCCAGTTCTCTGCCAGACATCGCAGTCCCTCCGCCTGTGAGGAGCAAACACAATCATGGTGTGAAGACCAAGCCAATCTGAAGGACAGCCACAAAGCATCTCGAAAGCAGGAGATGAGAAGTGCAGCCACCTAGTATTTTTTATACATCCAACAAAAATTCCTAGTGCTCACAGCACTCCGGTGGGCCCTGAGTTAGGTGGTGGGTCAACCAGCCTCAGACGCGGAGTTTCCATCTTTGGAAAGGAGTCAGACATTAAGTATTTGCATAATTATTTAAGCAAAGCAGTGATGAGTGCTGTCAGCAAGAGTAGTAGAACTCGGAATCTGGGGGCAAGAGAGATGAGTTTACTCTCGGTGGATAAGAACCAACCAGGACGGGAGCTGGAGCACGGAAGCCAGAAAGCGGCCTGCCAGATGGAGTCCGAGAAGCTGAGCTCATGTGAGCGGCCTTCCCCACACACCCTCTGCGATCATCTAGTTAAGGCTTCTCCAAGTTTACGAGGATGTTCGCCTCGGGGGACTGGAGGAAGTACTCACACACAGACAACAGGTGTTGTGATATGGCAGATAAAGGTTGCTTTGATGAGAGATGTTTTCTTTAATAATTCTCTTAGATATTTTGTTAAAGTAAAAATTACCTCTGTGCTGTTTAAACATTCTGCGTTGTTTGAACGGAGACTACTTTGATGTTACTTCCTATCAGATAAAGTTAAAATTTTCTAGGTTTGTTTCCTTGTGTTCTCATTATAAAAACTATTAGAATTATAACTGAGACAGACCAGAATCAAGAAACCATGCTTGCTGTTCTCCAGAATTGCTGGCCTTCTGATAATAAAGCTAGTTGGAACTAATTCCTGTCTCTGCCTTTGGCAGACAGGGACAGGCAAGGCAGCAGGACCCTCTTCGTCGGGTAACATTTCTGAAAAGAATCTTAGTTTCCCCACCAGCCATTCATTCACCACGTCATCTGCCGAGAACCTCTCATGTGCAAGCCCTGTGAAAAGGACTTTCTTCCCTCCACTCACCACCACTCTAGGAGGTGACTAGATTTAAATCTGTTTTACAGTTGGTCAAGGGGATAAAAGATAAGTAACTTTTTGCTTAATGCTAGGTCCACACCCTCACAAGGAGCTGTACATTATTGTAACGATGTACATTATACGGATGGAGAAACAGGTCTCTGCAAAGTTAAGGGACTGACCACCGTCACCGAGGAATGGCCAGGACCTGAAGTCCCCCATCTGTGCAATCCTGCCCTTTCCTTCTTTTCTATAAGCTTATAGTCTAGATTCACAGAAGCAGCTAATATATTGCAGCCATGTCATGAAGTAACTGGGAACTGGAAGAACCCCGAAGGAGACAGAACAGGGATTATTTAGACAATCTGTTTTCCTTACAGAGCCCCAGTGAGTTACAAAGAAATCTGACCAGAGAACACTCAGGAATTCTTTGGCCTTCATGGCTGTAATTTCCTTTGGTCAGAGTAGCCCACGTGACTCAGAATTTCACAGATGCTTTCATGTTCAAAATTGGCCTTTCAAAGAATAAGAACAAGCCTTAACACACTACAACCCCCCAGGTGAGCTGGGACAGTCTTAGCCCCCAGGATCTAATTTCAACCTGAGCAGCTGTCCTGCACCCTACAACTCCAGAAAGACAATGTTTCCTTAGCCAAGTCACACCAGGGGATCCGAAAAGAAAATCAGCCAGCAGACACACAGTTACTGCTTGCTGGTTATTTATCCCAGTAAAGAAAAACTACAACCAAACCCAACTTCATTAAAGGTGACTGCTTCTGAAGTCATCACAACGGTTTCCCAACTGTGTGGGTCCCTTCTTGGCTTTGTGGCTGACTGGCAGGTGAAGAAGACAATGGGGAGACTACAGAAATAATACTTGATGTTTTTCATCCGTGCTTCACAGCACCACGGTCAGGACACATCTTCCCTCCTCACCTCCTCTCCTTACTCACATCCCTTCAGGGACGCCAGATGACCATGAGCACCAACTGTCAAATCCTTTATTCTTTTATTCATCCACAGCCATACCTTTCCTTCACTTGAAGAAAATTTAAATAAAACAGATAAAAACCAAGCTGCTCCTGTTTGAAGCAAAGGCCACCCCTGCCCTACCCTCTAGCCCTTCCTCCAGCAGTCCCTCTAAGGGTCTTTTTAAAGATCATTAATAAATTATTTTTGAAAGTTGCCCTTTCTTTTTTTTTTTTTTTTTTGAGACAGAGCCTCAAGCTGTCCCCCTGGGTAGAGTGCTATGGTTTCAGGGCTCACAGCAACCTTCAACTCCTGGGCTCAAGCCAGTCTCCTGCCTCTGCCTCCCAAGTAGCTGGGACCACAGGCGCCTGTTACAACGCCCAGCTATTTTTTGGTTGCAGCCATCATTGTTGTTTGGCAGGTCCGGGCTGGATTTGAACCCGCCACCTTAGGTGTATGTGGCTGGCGCCTTAGCCGCTTGAGCCACAGGCGCCGAGCCAGAAAGTTGCCCTTTCTTAGGACAACTGAAAATCACCAGCATGGGGGTGATACACCCTAAGGCCCCCAGCACGCAGCCCAGGAGCTTCCTTCTGCCTGCCGTCCAGCCCCACCTAGCACAGTCCTGCCCGTTCTCACTGCAAGCTCCTGACGCCCTCCCAAACTCCTCTCTGGCTCTCAAGGGCCCTCAGCTTACAGCCCACCCCCATCACATGCTCATCCCTTCCTAATTCCCTCCTCTCCTCATCTGCCTGGTGATCACAGATTTAGATTTTAACGCCCAGCTCAGCCATGACCTCTCTGGGGAAGACCTCCTTGCCTTTCTCCATCCCTGCACTCAGACCAAGGAACCAACACAGTATTCTGTCCCTAGTTTCTTTTAAGATTTGCCACTCTGGGTTGAAACTTTTTTGTTTCCCTGTGTGCCTCCCTTGCTGGCCTGGCCCCTGAAAAGGGAACTGGTTGATTTCTGCATCCCCAGCTCCACGCACAGCATCTAGCACATAGTTGGTTTTCAGTAAACCGTTTACTGAATAAACTGAATCCATGAATTAAGAGAAAACAAGGATGAAGAGGTTCACGCCGTCCTAGCTTCAATCTCTAGGTTTGTACTTACATGCACTAGTGGTTTAATCTCTAAAGCAGTGATTCTCAACGGGTGTGCCACAAAAACTTTTGAAGACTACTAATAAATTATTTTTCAAAGAAGTTCATGGCACAGTAAATATATTCTTCTATTCTTTTGTTTTGCTTTTAATCAACATAATTTAAGTGTACCACGTAAGTCTAACTATAGGTTTGAGTGTGCCATGAGATTAAAAAAGGTTGACACTAGAGTCTCATTCACCCAGTTAGCAAAAACTTACTGAGCGCTTACCACCACATGTTACTAATTTTATTAATTTTATTAATCCTGGGGCAATCATTTGTTTCACATGCAGCTTTTCTGAAGTCAGGATGAATCTTAACAATCAATGGCATCTTATAGTTGGTAGCATTCTCCTTTGTTCTTAGTGGAATCTGAAATAATGGTGCATCTTGCAACCAGTGACATCTGAGACTAGAAGAAACACAGATTATACCAGGCATCAGGTTGACAAAACAGGAATGAGCCCTTGGCTCAGAGCTTCTTTACCTACAAATAAGAGGTAGACAGACCAAGCCAGCTGTCCTACTTTCCATCTACAAACCACGCACATCCTCTTACTGAACTTGGGATGCCCTCTTGGCTTCTCACTGTCTTCACTGCGACGGCCCCCAGGGGTGCTGATCCTAGCCTGCCAACAGCACTTGGCCTTGGACTAGAACTTTGCAAGACTGTTCTAAACACATAAGAAACAAAGAAGTGAGTTGGAAATGAAGGATCATCAGGAACATTCTGGCTTACACAGACCTGGCCAGCCAGCACCCAGGCCTGTCTCTACCCCGACCCAGCCCCAGTGACAAGAGACATGCCCCATGGCCTGGCCTGGGCCCTCACACTTGAGCTGCTCACTTCTGACCCGGGCTTCCTCTGCAGGGAGAGCATCATCTCACCCTCCACTACCCCACCTCCAGATTCCCTTCCAGTAAAATCAAAGAGGCAGGTTTCCACAGCTAGGCCTGGGCTTGCTCCAGTTCTGGTTTCTGAACCCAGGGAAGAGCCGCCCCCTCAGGAGAACCCCCGCCTCACAGAGGGACAGGAGCTTCATGATTAGATGGTTTACTCCAACTGCTGCCTGTGCCACGGCTGCGGGCCCGGTGCCTGGCACACAGCAACAACTCAGTAAGTCTTTGTGACTCGGTGAATGAACAGCTATCCTTAAAACCCATCATCGGGCAAATAATGAAAAGTACTCTGTTTGCTATGTATATGATATTCTGCGAAGTGGCCTGCTTACAATGCCACTCTTAATCCTGACCACAGTTCTTGAAGACAATAGCCATTGTCATTTCCATTTTACTGATAAGGAACGTGAGTCCCAGACAGCTGAAGTAACTTGCTGCAGGATGTCCTACCGAGGCAATACTCTGGCTCGCAGTCCACAGCCTTTCTCAGGATGCTCTGCTACCCCCAAACATTGTTCCACATATTAAATGCCTGTTTCCTGGGGGCTCTGCTAGGCCCCCACCGACTGTACCTAAGGTCAGCTAACTCGGGACCCAGGATGCTCGCCTTCAGAGACTGACCTTCCGCAATGCTAGTGGCCACTCTATAACATACAACCAAGGCACCATTCCGAAGAGTGAAATCTACAGAGACAAGGAAGTCCTCAAACGCTCCCAGCACCATTCACAAACTCCTCCCAGCTCATATTTTTCTATGAAATAGATCCTACCCATATATTTCCCCACTTTGCCCATCACAATAGTTTTAAGCTATCTCTTTGTGATTGTTTCTGCACCTAGAACCCGAAAGCAAGGATGTTGAAGCCTTGGGCAGCTTCCCTGAAACTCAACTGTGAGGTATAAAAGCCCGACCGACCCGGGACTGTCTGCGACATGGATTCCCCTGCCCTTCCCCCACTGTGCCCATGCCCAGGCCCTGGGGTCATAAGTACAATCAACTGTGACCTGGACTCCAAACCTTATTCAACTAGTAGCTCTTAGACTCAAAAACTAAAGTAACCGCAAAATGAAAAACATTATTTCCTTTTCCAATTTGTTTAAAAAAAAAAAAAAAGGATTAGGATCCTCATCAGGTCAACCATTTCCCCGTTCATGGAAACCCAAGCAGGCTGGTAAACCTACGGCCACATCACACCTCACTGGTATGGGGGTAATTTGCCCAAAGTCACACAAACAGTAAACAGCAGCACCAGGATTTGAACCCTTGCCTCGTCCAGAAGCTTAGGGCTCTTTCCACAACACTGAGCCAAAACTGAAAACCCAATCCTCTCATCACTTGTTCAGTAACAGTGACAGCAGCTTTCACTGAGCTCTGCTCTGCACAACTTCATGATTTCATTTAATCCTCACAGCAACCCGAGGAGGCAGGTATGGGAACCCCGCTTCCCTGTGAAGGATACTGAGATTCTCAGAGATAAAGCTGTTTGAAGTCCCGCAGCACAGAGGCAGGGCGCTGGGCTGGGATTCACGGATGAGTCTGTATCATGCCAAAGACTTGCATTACCAGTGGTTAGAGTGGGAACTGTGGTTCCATTTTATTCGTTTTAGGCAAAGATGAATGCGCTGTGAAGGAAAACAGCTGCTAGGAGTACAGGGAGGGGGGTCAGGCACACAGAAATGAGGACGTGGACTAGGGACAGCCAAGAGGAAGAAAAACAACAGCGGGAAAGTTGGGCTGCGCCGCACAGACCCCGACAAGCAGCGACTTCTCCCTCCACAAGGCGTTTCCCAAGGGCAGACACAACCGCCTGTCCAAGTCCCCAGCATGGACTGGCCTGACGTTCAGTCCCCACTTACGATCAAAAGACTGCTCTATGTGACAAATATTTATACAGTTCATTAAATGATAGCCTGTATAAATATTACGAGAAATGTGCCACAGGAAACCACAGACTTCACGGCTGACTCTTCAACAAGCATGTAGGCTGCTGAAACGCACAGTGAGAGAGGAACGGTGCCTGGGCACTGGAGGCTGCTCTCTGCAAAAGGATTTCAGCAATCCTACGAAGGGGGTACATGCTACAAATACTGACCACGTGGGGACTGTGCTGGTGCTTTCCCCCTTCGTCCTCCTTAAAGACTATTTCCTAGGTCTACAGCCCTCCACTGTGGCTGAGCTTACCTTATGGCCTGTTTCTTAAGGAGCTGCTCCTCCAGGACAGACTTGGTGACAACCCACAGAAACAGTGCTCCAGGGACCTGGGAAGGAATTCAGTGTCCTCTGTCAACTTTGATCTTTGGACGTTGCTGGGAGTTCATGTACACAAGCCCCACATAATTTATTTAATGAGTTACATTGCAATCAGGGGGTTGGTACAATTGGAAAGAGAAAGATCAGTGATGGGCTAGGCTTGTCCACTGCTGTCTCCTTCACAGAAAGGACTGAATACCACTTTCAACACGTCTCACCTGCTCTACGATGGTGAGAAAACTTGGAATAATAAGGGAAGAGCTAATGTGGCTTTAAGAGTTGGTTCTCTATAAGCTCCACCAACAATACGCAAGGGAGGAACAGAGCAGCTTGCTAACAGCTTGTCCTCTCCCCGTGGAAAGCCGTCTCCAACGCCCCCCTCCCCAGTTCTTTTTCAGTCTTCTGGTACAAAGGGAGACACTTGTAAGTTTTCATGCTGCTAATACTGACTCAGAAGAAGCCCAGATACTTCCTGGGTTCCCCAACTTTTGGAGTTTGTAGCAACTGCACAAGTTGTCTTTCATCCAGACATGCCTGTGGCCTGGTGTAGACCGTACACAGGAGTATAAGTGTATTTCCAGTCCAGTCTGGGGTGGCCAGCACACTCTGTGGCATCAGAGTGAAGGACAGGAGTAAGCAGGGACACTGCTCCCTGAAAGCTGCCCAGAGGCTGAGCCACACCCCCATCTAGGCAGGCTCCTACAGGGCCAGGACCATCTGATGTCTAACACGAATGCCTAGCAAAGGACCTGGCCTGCTACAGACCAAGAACAAGGTCAAAAGCATCTGAAGAGGAAGAGGAAAGGAGGGAAGGGAAAGGAAAACACGGGGGGACAGGGCACGGGGGGAGTAGGGGGAGGGAGGGGGAAGGGAAGGAAGACACTGAAGGGGCAGGAAGAGGAGGGTGAGAGGATTCAGAAGAAACTAAGAAACCCCTTGACTGATGGGAGGAGGGGAGCAGAAAGAAAGATGCAGACATATACCACGGTCAACAAGTAACACCCTGCCCAGGAAAAGTCCCTAATACAGAGAAGGAACAGAAAATGAATGTCAGTCCTGAGATCCCACCCTAGCTCCACCTTTCTGCACAGAACAAAGCTAGTTGGTTAACGGAGATACCAGTCTGCTGCTTTCATTACTGTCCCAACAGTTCTGATCCCCTGCATCACAGACTCAGTATTTTTCATTTACTGTTCCAACAGTTCTGATCCCCTGCACCACAGACTCAGTATTTTTCAGGTTCTCTACTTAAACACAAGTAAGAAGTGACCTCACAGGGGCCATCGTATTTAAATCAGTAAGACAGTAGAAAAGTTGGCCATCCTTTTAAATTGGAAGTTGGATTCTAAAAGGCAGAAAAGTCAAACCCACCCTTCCCCAGGCCTGCCTCATATGAGGTAGCCATCCGGATCCAGACTGGGCCAGCCTGGAAAGGTGGCCAAACACCAGCACCTGCCGAGAGCCACACGGACAACGGCACGACGGCAGCCGTGCAGAAAATAAAAAATCCAACCACGGCAGAGGCAACGTGCATGGGAGAGGTCCTAAAGAAAGCATGGCGAAAACTCTGACTCACCAAAAGATGTTCCCCAAATCCCCCCACAGGTATCTCTAAAAGAAACTAAAGATTACACCTCCGCGCCCCCCTCCTGCTCACCGTTTTCTCTCCCCTGTCCAAGCCCTGTGTTCTAACAAAGCAACCCTCTGCTTGCTCATCCTGCCTTCTGTTGCCCTGCCAAGCCATGCCCTGTGCAGAGAATGGGTGCACAGGTTCAGCTACCACAAGGCATTCACTGTTTCTCCCATTTACGCAAGGAAACTGAAATGCCAGGGCCTACAAGCTACAGATGGCCGCAGAGCCCGACTGTCACCACACCCCTGAAGTGACTGGCTACCTGCACTAACCAACCTTTGTCCTGGGCACACAAGGTGTCCTGGGCACCCACCTTGATGCTTAAAAAGGCCCTCTCCATGCACGGTCGGATTGGTAAAGACCACCCACGCCATCATAAACCCTACTGAGGAAACACCAGACATTAACGGAGAACACTCTGTCCCCCGCTTCTCCATATCTACAAACAAGCTCAAAGGCATGTGATGTAGTCACAGGCAGGTTGTGAGGGGAGGAGATTATTAATGTATCAAATGTCCAAATACCTTCTAAAATAAGAAGCCCATAAGGACTTTCTTGCTCTGGAGAGTTCTAGAAGCACTGCAAGCAAACCTTCCTTGTGGGGTGTGGCTGAAGCCGCAAGTCCCTCCCTGGAGGCAGTCTCCTCCTATCTACAGGGCCACATCCAGGAGAAGCAGGCAGAGGGAGAGGGGGTGGCCCAGTAGAGCCATAGTCAAGCTCTCATAAATCCAGCCGACATCCTGAGTTCACTAAAAGCAGAAGTTTGCATCCAATGGTCTCTCCCCTAATACGCCCACTACAAAGCTAAGCCTCTAACAGGGAAAATTACATGCAACTAGGTGATCTGTGCTTACATGGACTCCCTTCTGGAATATGAATCCCTGACCTCTCTGTGAGTCCTGAATAAGTTAAACATATGTGTAGTTTCATCCCCTCATCTCTTTCACCTCCAACAGGTTGCTGCTGATTTGCTGACATAATTAACTTTGAAATGATTCTCTACAGAACTAACCAGACCTTCAAAGCAATGTCATTATCATTAGCACATTGGCCAAAATCATCAACTTTCCCAGAAAGTCACTCAAATTACGAGAGAAGAACCTCCCACCCTTAATGACTGCTGTCAGATGTGGGCAATTTCAGGAAGAGCTCAGGGTGGTGTGTGGTACAGCAGCAAAACCCACTCTCCATGGCACCGTGCAAAACTCCTTCCTCATAGACAATGCCAAGCCAGAGGCTGGCCAAGGTCTTAGCCTGTCCTTATGTTTCCTTATGTAAGAAGCATGGCCTGGTGGCTTTAAGGCCCAAGGTGAAAGACCTAACGAATGAGTTATCTCAAGATTGAATAGCAGACTTGGCTGTTCCACAAACGTAACACTGTCAAAATCACCTTGGGCTCAAGTATAAGCTCACAGACCACAAATGCTGCTTCTGCCCAAAAATGTAAGGTCCCAACTCTTGATATGACCAACAAAGACCTCTGGGCTCTGGCTGCTGCTGAATCTCTAACCTTAACACCCTTCTCCCTTCCCAACCTCAACCCATGACACTCTAACCCTATAAAACCACCAGCATCCACCCACTGAAAGGCTGGTGCCTCTGCTCACACCGTTCCCTCAGCCTGTAATAGAAGATACAAACTTGGAGTTCACAGAAAAATAAATACCATGCAAGCAATACACATACGTTGTTTGCCTCACAAATAATGTGGAAATGTCGATCCAAATAATGAGGTGATTTTGCATCTAAAAAAATATAAGCATAAGTTGAATTTTGATAATACCTACTTTGGGCAAGATTATGGAGAAATAAGCAGTTTCCATCTACTTTTCATGGAGGAGTAACAGTTTCAATCTTTTATAAAATCATCTGATACTATTTGTCAGTTTTCAAAATCTAGCCTTTTACCCAACAGTTTAACTTCTAAGAATCTATCTTCTAAGAATTTATGCTTGGGCTCACCACAAACAAAATACAAAATGTGCCTTATGCCTTTTTTTCTTTTCCTTTTTTTTTTTTTTGGTAAATAGAAGAGCACACTCACAAAAACCCTAGAAACAAATTAAATGCTTATTAAGAGAAGACTTGCTAAAATTGATAAATCAATGGCTGCTTTAAAAAAGAATGAGGAGGTACTAAAGAAAGACGCTAATTACATATTATTAACTAAAAAAGATGTTCTTAGCCGGTATGTGTACAGTATAACCCCATTTGTATTTTTTTTTTTTTGCAGTTTTTGGCTGGGGCCAGGTTTGAACCTACCACCTCTGGCATATGGGATCAGCGCCCCACTCCTTTGAGCCACAGGCACCGCTCTGTATTTTTTTTTTTTTTTTTAAAGAAGAGAGCATGGGTGCTTCTCAAAGTGTGGTCTCCAGAAGAGCAACAGCATCAGTAATAGCAGGGAACTGGTTAGAAATGCAGATTCTCAAGCTCTGGTCCATCTCCATGGACTCAGGGTCTCTGGGGTGGAACTCAGCAGTCCGAGGTTTAAAAAGTCCTGCAAGTGATCCTGGTAGATGGTAAGGAATGAGAACCACTGTGCTGTATAAAAACTGAACATACAAGAGTTCCAGAAAAGTCCATTAAAAAAACCCTCCTTACTCTAGTGACACCCAGGCCAAGGACTGCAGTGGAGGCTTGGAGGGCGTTTTCCTCCCCTTTCTGTGCCGAATCAAGGTCTGCAAAGAGCAGCTGCTCCTGTGATAGCAAGAAAGATCTTCCTTGTGTTGAGCTGACCTGCACTTGGTATGGCTCCTGTCCTCTAACATTTTCTCCCATAGGATAACCCAGCCTTTTCACCCTCTTCTGTGGACTGTCCCTCCTAATGTTTTGAAACGGCTCTCATAATTTCCTCTGTGCTCTATTATCTGTTTCTGCGCTGCTCCTCCAAGACACAGCTTTTCTAAAATAAAGAGAGAGGAAGAAGGGATACGGGGCACTTAGCACATATAACTAGAACGGCCTTCCGTCACCCCCGTTTCTATGTGCCACTGTGTGGAGACGAGGTCGCCTGGGCTAGCTGGCTGTCGTCCAGGCCCTCTGGAGGCACCCTGTGCTGGGACACACCGATGCTCTATCCAGCCCAACATTTACTTTCTGACACCAACATCAAGAAAACTTGTTCTTGAGGGGAACAAACTCTCGGGCACTGCCATGAAGAATAACCTGCTCTTGTGGGGACAAAGACAGGGGACTGGGGGTTCCCTATGAACCGCCTTTGATGGAGGGTTGGAGGTAATCCTTGTCGCATGTCCTACTCTTCCCTTGAGAGTTCACTAGAAATTAGTGTTATCTGTGTATCATCAGTTTGTACCTTCACGTAAATCCAAATATTTCTCAGATTTATGTTTTGAGCCAGCTCTCATCTCACATCAATAAATTTCTGACAAACATTTAT